CTCCCCAGGTAGACCCCCTCCCCGCTCCCGGTCTTTCTCCTTCAGGTGTGTCTCAGGTAGACCCTCCTCCCTTGACTGCGCCGGTTGAGGTCACTGGTGACTCAGGTCCTGCTCGGGGTGCTACTTCTGGGGGTACTGAGCCTGGGGGTGCGGAGCTTGAGGGTGTGGGGCCTGGAGGTGCTGAGCTTGGCAGTACTGAGTCTGGGGGTGCTGCACCTGGGGTTGCTGAGGCGTCTGGTGAGCAGTCTCCCTGGAGCGGCCGTCTCCGTAGTCGCTCCGCTGGTGCCTCGCCGCTGCCCTCTCGTCGTCCACTCCCCCTCTCCTCCCTGCAGCTGGTTGAGTGGTACCTTGGCCGTCAGGGCCGCGCTGCTGGAGCTGGTGACTCTGCTCCTGGAGTTGTCTCCGCTGGAGGTTCTGGAGCTGCTGAGGGTACTGACACTGGGGGTTCTGGAGCTGCTGAGGGTGCTGGCGCTGGAGGTTCTGGAGCTGCTCGAGAGCTTGGTACTGGTGGCGCTGGAGCTGGAGGTTCTGGAGCTGCTGAGGGTACTGAAGTTTGGGGTTCTGGAGCTGCTGAGGGTGCTGGCGCTGGAGGTTCTGGAGCTGCTGGAGGTACTGGTGCTGAGGGTGCTGGCGCAGGAGGTTCTGGAGCAGTTTGGGGTGCTGGTGCTGAGGGTTCTGAGTCTGCTGTTGCGCGGTCTCCTTGGAGTAGCCGCCTTCGTCCACGTGTGCCTCTCACCTCGCAGCAGCTGCACGACTGGTACGGTCGCCGTCAGGGTCGCGCTGCTGGAGCCCGGGGCTCTGCTGCTGGAGGTACTTCTGCTGACGTCCCTGGAGCTAGGAGTGGTGCTGGTACTTTGTCTACTGGAGGTGCTGGAGTCGCTGGTCCCGGAGGTGCTCGTACTGGAGGTACTGGAGCTGCTGGGGCTGGGGGTGCTGCGTCTGGAGGTGCTGCTGCTGGAGACACCGAGGCTGGAGACCTTGGGACTGGAGGTGCTGGTTCTGGGGGTGCCGCTGCTGGAGACACTGAGGTTGGAGACCCTGGGACTGGAGGTGCTGGTTCTGGGGGTGCTGCTGCTGGAGACACTGCGGTTGGAGACCCTGGGCCTGGAGGTGTCGGTTCTGGGGCTGGAGCTTCTGGAGCTGCTGGAGGTGCTGGAGCTGCTGGAGGTACTGGAGCTGCTGGAGCTGCCGGTACTGGTGCAGCTGCGCTGACACGACTGTTCTTCGCTCCGCCGTCTCTGTCGTCTCTGCCGCCGCCTGACTCTGTTCTTCGTCAGGTTCTTACTCTCCCGTCGTCTACTGGTCTTCCGTTACAGCCTGGCTCACCGCTGCCTGCTCCTTCTCCTTACACTGAGCAGACAGGTAGTCCTGCTGAGCGTCGTGAGCCTGCGTCGCGTCCTGTCTCGCCTGTTCGTCCTGGTCGTACCGGTCGTCGTGTTCCTCGTTCGCGTCAGCCGGCTGTCCCCAGCGCACACCTCGTAGTCCGTCGTCCTTCCTCTGCTCCGCAGCCTGTTCCTCTGCCGTCTCCTCCTGCGTCCTCTCTGCCTGACGTTCCGAACCCTGAGTCTGACCGGTTTCGTGCTGAGCACCCTACTGTCACGCGTCTGTTAGCCACTATTGTCACTGACCCGTCGTTTGAGTCTACTGTTGCGTCTGCCTTGGTTGCTGAGCTTGTTGCCTTTGCTGCTGCGTGTCGTCTAGACTACGCCGCTAGTCTTGTTGCTGAGTCTGAGTCTGTCTGTCCTCCGTCCGTCGGGGGTGAGTGTGCTCTTGGCACGGACATCCTTGAGGACAGGCAGGAGGAGTTCCAGTGCTTTGCGGCTGCTGTACCTCATCTCGTGTCCATGCTGATTGCACCTGAGGGAGACCCGGATGCACCAGACATCCCGACCCCGCGCTCTTACGCTGAGGCGATCGCGGGTGAGTACTCCTCTCAGTGGCAGACAGCCATGGACGCAGAGATGGCATCCTGGAAGTCCACTGGCACTTACGTCGACGAGGTTCCCCCTCCTGGGGCGAACATCGTCAGTGGCATGTGGATTTTCAGGGTGAAGCGGCCGCCAGGTTCTCCGCCTGTCTTCAAGGCTCGTTACGTTGCTCGAGGCTTCAGTCAGCGAGAGGGAGTAGACTTCTTCTAGACCTTCTCCCCCACCCCGAAGATGACCACTCTTCGGGTGCTGCTGCACGTTGCCGCTCACCGTGACTACGAGCTTCACTCTCTTGACTTCAGCACAGCTTTCTTGCAGGGCAGCCTGCACGAGGAGATCTGGCTGCGCCGCCCCCCGGGCTTCACTGGGTCGTTCCCTCCTGGTACCCAGTGGAGCTTCCGGCGGCCAGTCTACGGTCTCCGCCAGGCGCCACGTGAGTGGCACGACACACTGAGGACTACGCTTGCGGCCCTTGGTTCGCGCCTTCTACTGCTGATCCATCACTGTTTCTGCGCACTGACACTTCACTGCCGCCGTTCTATATCCTCGTGTACGTCGACGACTTGGTTTTTGCCACTGCTGATACTGAGGCTCTCGCCCACGTGAAGTCGGAGCTGCAGAAGAGACACACGTGCACAGACTTGGGTGAGCTGCGCAGCTACCTTGGCTTGCAGATCACCCGGGACAGAGCACGCCGCACCATCACCCTAACTCAGTCACACATGGTGCAGCAGGTCCTTCAGCGCTTCGGCTTCACCTGGTCTTCAGCACAGGCCACTCCTCTGGCTACAGGTCACTCCCTCTCAGCTCCACCTTCGGACGAGTCCGTAGAGCCGAGTGGTCCTTACCCAGAGCTAGTTGGCTGCCTCATGTACCTGATGACTTGCACTCGACCTGACCTCGCGTACCCTCTTGGCCTTTTGGCTCGCTACGTGGCTCCTGGTCGGCACCGACCTGAGCACATGGCTGCTGCTAAGAGGGTACTGCGCTACTTGTGCAGCACATCAGGCATGGGGCTAGTGCTTGGAGGGACGAGCCCAGTTGTCCTCACTGGGCACTCAGACGCGTCTTGGGTTGACGACCAGACTACACAGCGGTCGTCACAGGGTTACACTTTCAGCCTTGGCTCTGGCTCTGTTTCTTGGCAGTCTACACGCTCGTCTTCTGTTCTCAGCTCCAGTTGTGAGGCTGAGATCTACGCCACCGCCATGGCTGCACAGGAGCTACGCTGGCTCACCTACCTGCTGACTGACTTGGGTGAGCGGCCTCGTTCTCCTCCAGTTCTGTACGTCGACAACAAGGCGGCCATTGCCTTGTGTGAGGAGCATAGACTGGAGCATAGAACGAAGCACATCGCTCTGCGTTATTTCCTGGCTCGAGAGTTGCAGCAGCGAGGCCAGCTTCGTCTTCGTCACGTGGCCACTCGGGCCAACACTGCTGATATATTCACCAAGGCACTTCCGTCTGGTGATCATCAGCGCTTTTGTACCCTGTTAGGTCTTGTGCCTACGTTTCCACACTTGCTGTAGTCTCTGCTTGTACTGTGATCTATATATATACATGCATGCCTGCTCTTGCTAGGTAGTCATCACTGTACTGTTATTGTTGCATATATATCTCTGCATGTGGACTGGCCTTGTGGCCCTTTGCTTGTGCTCAGAATGTGTGGTGACGTTGTGATCCACCCTGAGCTTGCTTTGCGTCTCTTGACTGGTCGTGTGACCCCTTGTTCTTCCCCACTTTGCCTATGGGGGTGTGTCAAACATATATGCTGCATATTGTCTAGGTTGTAGTGGGGTAGCCCATATGGGGTACAACCCAATTAGGGTTTACTACTTGTACTCCTGCATGCTGCTAGTTCATCATTCCTGCTGCTAGATTCTAACACAGTTCACATGCAGGATTATATATTAAGGGAAACATGCAGGTGCAGGTATATATAGATCACAGTACAAGCAAGGTCAAGAGGTAAGCAAGTGAGGCCAAGTAGGCACAAGACCTAAACATTGTACAGAAGCGCTGATGATCACAAGGCTGAAGTGCCTTGGTAAAGATATCAACAGTGTTGGCCCGAGAGGCCATGTAAGCAAGGCGCAGCTGACCACGCTGCTGCAACTCACGAGCAAGGAAGTAGCGAAGAGCAATGTGCTTCGTTCTGTGCTCCAGTCTGTGCTCCCGACACAAGGCCAGCATGGCCTTGTTGTCTACGTACAGAACTGGAGGAGAACGAGGCAGCTCTCCCAGTTCAGTCCGCAGGTAGGTCAGCCAGCGTAACTCCTGTGCAGCCATGGCCCCTGCGTAGATCTCAGCCTCACAGCTGGAGCTGAGAACAGACGACGAGCGGGTAGACCGCCACGAAACAGAGCCGGAACCAAGGCTGAAGGTGTAACCCTGTGACGACCGCTGCGTAGCCAGGTCGTCAACCCAAGACGCGTCTGCGTGACCAGTGAGGACCACTGGACTCCGCCCTCCAAGCACGAGCCCCATGCCCGACGTACTGCACAAGTAGCACAACACCCTCTTCGCTGCAGCCATGTGCTCTGGTCGGTGTCTCCTAGGAGCAACATAACGTGCCAAGATGTTATGAGGGTAGGCCAGGTCAGGTCGAGTGCAGGTCATCAGGTACATGAGGCAGCCAACAAGCTCTGGGTACGGGCCACTCGGCTCTACGGACTCATCCGAAGGCAGAGCTGAGAGCGAGTGGCGAGCACACAGCGGAGTGGCCTGAGGCGAGGAGTACGTGAAGTCGAAGCGCTGAAGGACTTGCTGCACCATGTGTGACTGAGTCAGGGTAATGGTGCGCCGTGCTCTGTCCCGAGTGATCTGCAAGCCAAGATAGCTGCGCAGTTCACCCAGGTCTGTGCACGTGTGTCTCTTCTGCAGCTCGGACTTCACGTGGGCGAGTCCAGCAGTGTCAGCTGTAGCAAAGACCAAGTCGTCGACGTACACGAGGATGTAGAACGGCGGCAAAGAGGTGTCGGTGCGTAGAAACAGCGACGGGTCAGCAGTAGAAGGAGCAAACCCAAGAGCCGCAAGTGTAGTCCTCAGTGTGTCGTGCCACTCACGAGGCGCCTAGCGGAGACCGTAGACTGGCCGCCGGAGGCTCCACTGGGTACCAGGAGGAAATGACCCAGTGAAGCCAGGTGGGCGGCGCAGCCAGATCTCCTCGTGCAGGCTGCCCTGTAGGAAAGCTGTGCTGAAGTCAAGCGAGTGAAGCTCGTAGTCACGGTGAGCGGCAACGTGCAGCAGCACCCGAAGAGTGGTCATCTTCGGGGTGGGAGAGAAGGTATGAAAGTAGTCAACTCCCTGCCGCTGACTGAAGCCTCGAGCCACGTAACACGCCTTGAAGACAGGCGGAGAACCCGGCGGCCGCTTCACCCTGAAAATCCACATGCCACTGACGATGTTCGCCCCAGGTGGGGGAACCTCGTCGACGTAGGTGCCTGTGGACTTCCAGGAAGCCATCTCTGCGTCCATGGCTGACTGCCACTGAGAGGAGTAGGGACCCTCTATCGCCTCCGCGTAAGAGCGCGGAGTCGGGATGTCTGGTGCATCCGGGTCTCCCTCAGGGGCAACCAGCATGGACACGAGATGAGGTAAAGCAGCAGCAAAACACTGGAACTCCTCCTGCCTGTCCTCAAGGACGTCCGTGCTAAGAGCACACTCACCCCCGACGGACGGAGGACAGACAGACTCAGACTCAGCAACAAGACTAGCGGCGTAGTCTAGACGATAGGCAGCAGCAAAGTCAACAAGCTCAGCAACCAAGGCAGACGCAGGAGTAGACTCAAATGACGGGTCAGAGACAACAGTGGTTAACAGACACGTGACAGCAAGGTGCTCAGCACGAAACCTGTCAGACTCAGGGTCCGGAACGGCAGGCAGAGAGGACGCAGGGGGAGACGGCAGAGGAACAGGCTGCGGAGCAGAGGAAGGACGACGGACTACGAGGTGTGCGCTGGGGACAGCCGGCTGACGCGAACGAGGAACACGGCGAGCGGTATGACCAGAACGAACAGGCGAGACAGGACGCGATGCAGGCTCACGACGCTCAGCAAGACTACCTGTCTGCTCAGTGTAAGGAGAAGGAGCAGGCAGCGGTTAGACAGGCTGTAACGGAAGACCAGTAGACGACGGGAGAGTAAGAACCTGACGAAGAACAGAGTCAGGCGGCGGCAGAGACGACGGAGATGGCGGAGCGAAGAACAGTCATGTCGGCGCAGCTGCACCAGCCCCAGCAGCTCCAGAACCTCCAGCAGCTCCAGAACCTCCAGCCCCAGAACCGGCACCTCCAGTCCCAGGGTCTCCAACCTCAGTGTCTCCAGCAGCAGCACCACCAGAACCAGCACCTCCAGTCCCAAGGTCTCCAGCCTCAGTGTCTCCAACAGCTGCACCCCCAGCCCCAGCAGCTCCAGTACCTCCAGTAAAAGCACCTCCGGGACCAGCGACTCCAGCACCTCCAGTAGACAAAGTACCAGCACCACTCCCAGCTCCAGGGACGTCAGCAGAAGTACCTCCAGCAGCAGAGCCCCGGGCTCCAGCAGCACGACCCTGTCGGCGACCGTACCAGTCGCGCAACTACTGTGAGGTGAGAGGCACACGCAGACGAAGGCGGCTACGCCAAGGGGACCGCGCACCAGCAGTCCCAGTACCCTCAGGCGTCTCACCCCCAGACTCCGCACACACAGGCTCAGCACCCCCAGACACAGCACCCCCAGGCGCAGGACCTCCAGTCTCCTCACGCTCAGGCTCAGCACCCCTAGACTCAGCACCCCCAGACGCAGCACCCCGAGTAGCACCACCCCCAGCAGCACCAGAGTCAACAGTAACCGGCTGCAGAGGCGGCGAAGAAGGTCGCGGCGGGAAACCCGGAGGGGTCTCCAAGCGTGGTGTGCGGCGGTAGGCCGCCGGGGCGTCAGCAGCAACGTCACCCCCCTCAGCTGGGCCAGAGGTGTCGGAGGTGACCTCCAAAGGCACAGCCAAGGGGGGAGGGTCTACCTGAGACACACCTGAAGGAGCAGGACCCTGAGGGGGGAGGGGGTCTACCGGGGGGGGACCTGGAGCGAGAAAGAGCGGCGGGGGGGGGGAGGGGGGCAGCGCGGTAGGGGAAGAGACGGTAGTACGGAACCGACTCGTCAAACGTGACGTCCTGGGAGGACAGAACACGGCGCGAGGTGGGGTGGTAAAACTGCCAACCAGGCGCGTCAGGGGGGAAGCCAAGGAAGACGCAGGGAACAGCACGGGAGGACAGCTTGTCCGCAGACAAGTCTCGGACAAAAGCCCGAGATCCCCAGACACGGAACGCAGACGCATCGCCAACCTTCCCCGTCCACCGCAGAGTGGGGGGGGTCTCTGGCATGGAGACCCGGGGCTGAAGGTTGATCTGATGCGCCGCGTACTGAACCGCAAACAGCCACAGAAAATGGGGAGCAGGCGCATGTATCATGGACGTACGAGCGACGTCCATGACCATGCCAATGCGGCGCTCAGCAATCCCATTTTGCTGCGGAGAGGCCGGAAGCGTGAACGTCTGGCGGATGCCCCTCGCACGACAGAAGGCTCGCAGAAGGTCGGAGGAAAACTCTCCACCTCTGTCGGAGTGCAGACGCAGAACAGGAAAGTCCGAGCCGAAACTCTTCCTGAGCTGGAGACGAGCAGCGCGGATCCAGTCGATCAACACCGCAATAACCTCACCCTTGTTGCGCAAGGGGAAGACCGTGGTGTAACGCGAGTAGTCGTCAACCACCAGCAGGAAGTAACGCTCGTGACCCTGTCCACGGATGCGGGCTGGGCCCCACACGTCCATGTGAAGAGTCTGCAGCGGAGCCTCTGTCGGCGGAAACTCGGAGGAGTGAGGAGCGGCGCGCTGCCGCCCCTCGACGCAGGGAACGCAGGTAGGGGCAGGCCCCGGAGGGAGGGGAGGGAGAGACCGGGGGAGACCAGAGACAAGGACACGAGAGGCCATGCCTCGGAGACGAGGCAGGGAGGGGTGACCAAGGCGGTGGTGCCAGAGAAGAGTCTGGTGGGACAGGAGGCGACACGAGCAGGGGGCAGACTCAGGACCAGACCGAGACGCTGCAGCAAACACCTGACCCGACGCAGCTACCTGACCAGGCACAGCAACCGGAGGAGACTCGGTAGTCAGTGTGTACAGGCTCGACCCCGGCTGACGGGTAAACGTGGCCAAGTGTCGGCCCGTCCGAGCACACGTGCAGTGGGTCACCCGCTGACTCGCAGGAGTGAACTGGTCAACCCCCCCATCCTGTAGGTCAGCACCACTCACCAAGTTCGTGGAGAACGAGGGGAGGTAAAGACCTGACAGGGAGCCAGACGGGGCCGCTGGACACGGTAGCACAGTGGAGTAGTGGGCAAGGACAGGACCCCCAGAGGGGTCTGCCAGGGAGACCGCAACCGGCCGACTGAGCGGCGTGAGGGTGGTGTTGTCTCGAAAGAAGGAGCGGGAAGCACCCGAGTCAAGGGTGAAAGTGTGCAACGCCTGAGCAGACGTGGTACCTGAGAGAGCAGACTCACTAGCACCTGGAGCAGCAGACTCACTAGCACCTGGAGCAGCAGACTCACTAGCACCTAGAGCAGCAGCCGCAATGCCCGGGTCAGGCGGAACACACAGGTAACAGTCACCCTCATCACTAGCAGACACAACATACATGGCAGCAAGAATAGCATCATAGTCAAGATCAAAGATAGCAACCCCCGACCTAAGCAGATCACCCCAGCGAGGGATCTCAGTGGCGTCAGGGACCTGGAGACTCCAGGCGTCTGTCAGGCGGCCGAAGCAGCGCTGGGTGGTGTGCGGGCCGCCGCATGGCTCCCCAGTGCGGTCACCAGTACGCAGGACGTAGGCACAGGGACCAGCACCCCCAGACCGCTGACGCGCAGCGTACCACTCACGAAGCTGCTGGGGTGGCGGGGTCTCACGAGAGCGCTGCTGCTGCTGACGCTGGCCACCACCGAAGCCTCCCCGCTGCACAGAGCCTCCCCGACCAGCGCCACCGCCGCCACCGCCACCTCCTCCACTCCCACCGCCGCCGCCGCCGCTGCCTCCGCCTCCACCGCTGCCACCAGAGCCCCCACCTCCGCCACCACTCCCACCTCCACCCCCACCCCCTCCGCCGCCTCCACCGCCACCACCACCACCCCCGCCAGCTCCTCCAGCACCCTTGCCTCCCTTGCCCTTGCTGTTGCGGCGCCTCCCGCTAGGGGCAGACGCAGCGCCGACCGACTCGTGCCAACGAGGTCGACAGCAGCAGCAGAGGCAACAGAGGGCAAAAGGGGAACGGGGGAGCACCCCTCAAAGAAAGGGGCACGAGGGTCACCACGAGAGGCTCCTACAGCGACTATGCTCTTCTCAGCTGCAAGGAGGCGCTCCTCGAGGAGGTCAACGATGAGTGTGGTGGGGCAGAGAGAGAGGAAGTGATCCCTGACCGAGCGAAGGGAGTCAGGGAGCCGGGTGACTAGGTAGTAGAGGGTGATGTACATGGGGGGGGGATTCTGGGCACAGGAGTCAGCAGGAAGCGCAGCGCGGTAGCGGGTGTCACTAGTGCGGAGGTGCGTAATGAGGTCAGCGACTGTAGCAAAGGCGGCGAGGTCAGGGAAAAGGTACGGCAGCATGAGGCGACTAAGGGCAGCAGTGGCAGGGGAGGAGTAGCGCGCAACGACAGCGTCGTACAAGGTCTTAGCACTCTTGTACTGACTAAAGTGCGCGCGCTCAGTGGACGGCAGGTGACTACGCACAGCAAGACGGGCAGCAGCATCGCGTGTGGTCCACTGTGAGCGAACAGTACTGTCAGCATCGGCAGCAGGGGCAGTAGTGGCGCCAGACGTGAGATCGAACAGTGAGAGACCGTCTTTGCTATCACACTGTAGGAAAAGCTGCAGATCATCGAGCCAGACCTCAAAGTCTATCGCACGACCCTCAGCATCGAAGGTAAGAACATTGGGACTAGCCATGACAGCAGCAGCAGCAGGCTAGCAGTAGCAGCAGCAGTAGGAGCGCGGCTCGGTTGTGCGCTTACCATGAGCGGGTGGGTAGAAGGCCGCAAGTGGTGGGGCAGGACGGAGGTGCGCCGGCAGGATCAGGGCCGCGACAGGGCGGCAGGGCAGGGCCGCGGCTCGGCTGCAGGGCAGGGCCGGGACGGCGGCGGCAGCTGCGGAGAACGGCGGCTGTGACGGCAGCGACGGCGGCGGCTGTCACGGCAGCGGCGGCGGCGGGTGTCATGGCAGCAGTGGTGGCGGCGGTTGTCACGGCAGCGGCAGCGGCGAACAGCAGCGGCGGCAACGGAAGCGACGGCAGCAGCTGCTGGGGCGGCGACGAAGGGGCGGCAGTGCGACTATGGTGGGCCGCGAAAGCGTCGCGGAGGGGCCGGGAAGGGGCCGCGAAGGGCCGAGAGGGGGCCGCAAAGGGCCGAGAGGGGGCCGCGAAGGGCCTCGAAGGGGCCGCGAAGGGCTGTGAGGGGGCCGCAAAGGCCCGCGAAGGGCCGCGAAGGGGCCGCGAAGGGCCGCGTAGGGGCCGCGAAAGGGGCCGCTAAGGGGCAGGCCACTAAGGGGCCGCGAAATTTTAGGGCAGGGCGCGAAGCGCGCTTTGGGCAGGCTAAAAAAAAAAATTCCTATGGTGGGCCCTAGGAAGAAACGGTCCCACTAGGGAACCCGCTCTGATACCATGTCAGAATCCCAGTCACTAACCACTGGGATAAAAGGGCTTGTTTGTGTAGCGGGTGAGTGCGCCCATAACCCCCCAGGCCAATGTGCCTGTAACCCTTCCCTAGGATCAATCGGGGATCTCCAGTGGACTTCTGACAAGTGATGCTCGGGAGCAACTCCCGAGCCCCCTCCGAAGAAGCACGCGCGACTGTGAAACAGTCGCGCGTGCCTGCTGCTGACGAGCGTGTGGCTCCCAGGCAGCCGCGCGTGCCGGTCAAGTCAACGCCGGCTGACGCGGACGGCGACGCTGGTCAGCCGGGGCCCACCCTGCAGAAGCGACAGAAGGCCGCGACCCCAGCAAAAGCCGCCCCGGTCAACCCCCTCGCGTCCCTCACTGCGCAGCAGATGCAGGCACTGCTTTCGATGTTACAGCAGCACACTCCGGTTACAATCGCAACTTCTTCCGACTATATTTCAGCACCTGCAAAAATCGAAAATAAGAAAAAAGTCACCGCTCCCCGCGCAAACAAGGCTGCTCGCGTTAACGAGACCACTGCCGCACCCCTCCCCGCTCCCGTACGGGCGCCGATCGCTGCTCAAGACGACAACAACGACTCAGAGAACGACGATGGTGAGGCCCCCAACAACATTACCCGTCGTCGTATTATCGCACCCGCACCTTCTCTTCCACCCCTCAACCCCACACCCGCACCCACCACCTTCATGCGCAAAGGCGTGCGCGACCAGGCGGAGGTTTTCTCTGCTATCCAGTCACACCTGAAGCACGTCAATTTCAAGCTCCAGCACGGCGACATCGAAAGCGCCCTCGCCAACGTCGCGGAAATCAAAACGCTCATCAACAAGCGCTTCGAAGTCCTCTTGGTGGCGGACGAGGCGGGGTTCGAGGCTGCCGATCGCTTTCAGCTATACCAGTCCAAGAGCGTGCTAACCTCACGCTCATACAAGCTCGCAATTTTGGATGTGGCGGCTCTCAAGCATCCACGCGCCGGCTACCCTCGTGGTAATCGCATGCCTACCCGAGACAGCGAGACGGAAGGCAAGGGGATGCCACCCGCAAGCTGCCACGAACCCGCTTCAAGGGGGTGTGCTTCCGCTGCGGCCAGCCCGGCCATATGGCAAATGCTTGCCCTATGGGAGGGCGAGGCGCTCAAGGCCCCTCACCCGTCGTGTGAGGAGGCACACGAGGCGGCGCCCCTTGCCACTATGCCAGGGGGCGTAGGTGGGAGCACCGAGGGTGCGGGACTGGTCGTCAACCATGTGCTAAGCACCCACCTCCCAGCGGATCTAACGGAGCTTCTGCTACCGTCTAGGTTAATAGCCCTGGAGAAACCAAACGGAGGGGTCCGGCCCATCGCCATAGGAGAAGCGATACTACGACTCACGGCTAAGGCGGCGCTTAGGGAGCTAAGCACACCCATCCGAGAATACTTCCTTCCAGTACAATTTGGAGTCGCAGTACCGGGAGGCGCCGAATGTATTATTCATACGGTGCGCGCGCTCCTAGCTGAGGACCCGAAGCGAGTGGCGCTGCAGCTAGATATCGAAAACGCCTTTAACTTGGTCGAACGGGCGGGTTTCTTCGAATCACTGCATTTCTCTGGCCTCAGCCGCATCATACCGCTAGTGCGCACGCTGTACGGTACGCCCTCCTGCCTACTACTGGATCAGGGCTTCGCGGCACCACACATTGAGAGTGCGCGCGGGGTCCGCCAAGGAGATCCATCAGGCCCCATGCTATTCACAGCAGCCATTCAACCGGCGCTCCAGGTGGCATCCGACATCTTCCCCTCGGTCACGGTTATGGCCTACGCGGACGATATTACAATCGTGGGGACGGCGCAGGAAGCGTCACTAACCTTGGGGATCATCACGAGACACCTCACCAGCAGCGGCCTCAGATGAAACCTCGCGAAATCATCTGCTTGGAGCCCGTCAGGCATACCGGACGACTTGCCTGACGGCCTGGTAGCAGCGGTGGACGGCATACGCGTCCTGGGGAGCCCGACAGGGACAAGGGAATACGGGAGGCGCATGATCACAGCATCTCTGGACTCGGTGGCGGCACCACTGGACCTTATCAGCAGCATCCACCCGCAGCACGCCCTACTGCTGCTGTCACGCTGCATATCCAGGCGTATCTCCTACCTGCTCCGGACAACACCGGCGGACACGCTGCCCTTAGAAGAATGGAGAGAGTGGAGCGAAGGACTGGTGTGGACGGCACTCGAAGCGGCACACCTGCACGTACCAAGGAAGGAGATCGAACAGAGTTTGGTGTGGCGGCAGGCGACCCTACCAGTCTGCCTGGGTGGGCTGGGCCTCATAGATCCGGTGTCTGAAGCCCCTGCAGCCTACCTGGCATCCCTATGCGCGGCCCACACTCTACTGAGCGGCCTCCCCGAGCACCCAGACCACCCCCTGAGGCGGGCGGCAGCGCTGGTATCCACTGAAAGCACCAATGTGACGGCACAGGAGACACTACAGGACCTTAAACGCAAGCTGCCAGAAAGTGCACTGGAACTTCTACACGAGCATCACCGCCAGAAGGGGGGGAAAGGGCGGCTGCAGCTAGGACTATCACGTGAGGTCAACTTGGACAGAGCAGCCTACCTGATAGGGGATACCCGAGTAGACAAGCCGGGCAAGGATAACGGTCACGTGGTGCGGCTCATAGCCCTGCAGGCGCCGGGCGCAGGAGATTGGCTCCATGCCATACCCACGCGAGCGGACCTCACCTTCTCACCCGGGCAATTCGCCATAGCCCTAGGCTTCAGGCTCGGCCTTACCCTGCCAGTCACAGAAAACTGCCCCTGCCACGGCAAGCACTCCAAGATAGCGGAAAGGAGCTTGCCGAATCACCTGCTGAGATGCGCGGACGGAGGGGACCGCACCAACACCCACAACGCGCTGGTGTACGCGGCACTACGCATGGCGCGTGAGGCGGATTTCACTACCTTGCATGAGACCACAGGTTTCTCGCCCCCTGTCAACGCTAAACGGGCGGACCTGGTCTTCCGTGACAAGGAGTCCGGTGAAACCTACCTCACCGACGTGACGGTGACCGACCCAGTGCTGCAGAGGCGGGACACCCAAGGGAAAAAGGGTGGGCAGCAGAGGATGCGGCCAGGACCAAAAGGGGACTCTACGAGGAGCGCCCCGAGTATGCGGGGGTCCTGGGCCTGGCAGTGGAAACCTACGGGGGATTAGCGAAAGACACACAGAAATTCTTCCGCATTCTTGGCACGAGTGCTGCCAAGAAGAAACACCGCCAAGGGAGGCTCACCACGGTGGCCTCCAGGCTGACTGCACACTACCGACAGCGCTGGTCGGTAATGCTGCAGCGCTGCCAGGCCAACGCCATGCTGGCTAAGTCCAACAGGGCGGCGGAGGCAGCATACCCCCAGGCCTGGGCCGACCCTTAGGAGCCAGGCCTAGGGGACATATGGCAGGTCCTGGAGGATGAGGTGGAGGAGGCGTGGGACCTGGGAGTCTAGAGGGCTGGAGGGTAGGAACCGAGGCAGGACCAAGGGTGCGGAGCCACCACAGGGATGTAGTAATAGGTGCTTGCATGACTAAGCAGCCCCGTCCTCTGCCTTGCACGACTAAGGCAGGCATGTCTTACCTTGCATGACTTTGCTTCTATACCTTGCATGCATGTAATTGGCTGCCATATCAATATACGGACCATTAGAGAGAGAGAGAGAGAGAGAGAGAGAGAGAGAGAGAGAGAGAGAGAGAGAGAGAGAGAGAGAGAGGAGGGGGGGGGGGGGGGGGGGGGGGGGGGGGGGGAGAGAGAGAGAGAGAGACGACAAGTGGCGAGAGGCGGAATGGGACCCATACGAGAACGCGGTCACAGACGACACGGTGAAGGTCATGCGCAACCGATTGCGCAACCAACTGCACTGGTGGATATCGTGGTGCGACAACAGTTTTATTATCTCAATTATTGCCAGAGGATATTGGCTGCCTTGGAAAACTACAGAACCGCCACCCTTCGAAACCACAAACCACGCGGGTGTTCACGCATACACCACGTTCACTCGTGAGGCCATTCGCGACCTAATCACATCGCGCGCGGCAACAAAGGTCTCCTCGCGGACTGCGCTCTCGTGCGTAAGCCCACTCAATGTGGTGGAACAACGCGACAAATGTCGCCTCATCCTCAATCTACGCAAGGTCAATCAACACCTCCAAGTCCCCAAATTCAAATACGAGGGTCTGAATCGGGTCTCGGATATCATTCGACGCAACGACTGGCTGTTCACCATTGACCTAAAATCGGGCTACCA